ACAATGTATGAAATATTAAAACATTCGTGGTGGCATCTGCCATAATAATAGTATATATATTCTGCGTAATATTATGTGTTTACCTTATTTTATTTCTTTCTTTTTTCTTTTTTAATCTTTGCACGGCATTATTCAAACAATGGCATTTAATCGTTTTCTTAAAAAGAAATAATTGTTTTATTTCACATCAATCCAGAAATACAAAAAGCATACAGATCATTTTTTGACGAAATCCGAGAACTCCGTGACAGTTATCAAAGGAACTTCTGATATTCTCCGTAAAACACTTTCTCTCCCAATGATATTTACAGTTTTTCTAGTCAATCAATCTATACTGATGGAATTGACCTGATTTTCGTAATGTAAATATACCATATAAGTAAATAACCTACCTGTTTTAATCTGTAAATTTTAGATTTTTGTCATCATCGGCACTCCTTATGCAGTGTGCAAAAGTATTATTTCATACGTTTGAGACTTTAAAAAATCAAGTGCAAAATCTTGATAACTGCAAGATCTGCGGGCATATCCATCTTAGAAATATAACGAAATTCCTCGATCCTGTGTATGAGATTTTCTGAAAATAAGTCCATACAGGTAGTTAATTTTTAAACTATTTAAGATGAAGTTATGATTCTTTTGCCGTGCACTCCCATCTTCTGTTATCAAGTTATATTTTAAGTTTCACTGGAATTTCAAAATACAGGTAAACACAGAAAATCATAACCTTTGACCTTTAAGTATGACTTTGACTTTTGAGGTAGTATCTGGTTGTTGAGCATGATACATCTTCTTATTATGGTAATTTAAATGATATGTTTTCTACTAGGGTGAACTTTTGTGCCAAATAAAGTTAAAATCTCTTGATTGATAACAAAGTTATGCAACAGACACGAAAAATTAACTCCATCAGACAATGTTGACCTTTGATTGAAGTGTGTGTGCCCTTACCTTTGAAGTAGGGCAATAGGTGTTATGCAACACATCGTCTTATTACAGTGAACATTTTGCCAAGTTATTTCAAAATCCTTTGATTGATGAACAAGTTATGAACCGATCACAAAATTTACAATTCATCAGACAATATTGCCCTTTGATCTCCAAGTATGACCGTATTTTTTGAGCTCTGGTTGTTTCGTATGACACGTCGTCTTATTGTGCCTTGGTTTTAAAAAAATCCTTAAGGATTGAAAAGTTAAGCACCGGACATGGAATATATCCTCCATTAGAAAATGTTCACCCCTCATTTCCAAGTGATACCTTGACCTTGGAGGTATTGTCAAACTGAAGAACATTATATTTCATGTTTTATCCTAATATATACTAACACAGTTCTTCTTGTTATCCTACACTAATCGCTATTTAGACATGTACATTTGCTACCTGGTAGAAATTCTTAAGTTTATGAATACTTTTCTGCCCCGACAGAAGAAAATTTAATTCTAAACATTGCCATTTTGGAATGGTTTTACTTCATTTAGGAGCATATTCCATTTTACCCCGTAATGTGCTCCATTTTGCCCCAAAGACGGGGCTAAATTGAAGATTTCACAAGACGGTTTATTTGGTGATAGCTTCTACACCAGAACAGAAGCGGGTATCTTTAAACATAATATCAAATTGTAGTAATATCGTGATACAGTATTATTCTACATTCATAGATAAACTAGAGTAGGGCTTGAAGTTGGTATATAAATGGGAATAAATCATGGCATTGAATTAGTTTAGGTTGTTTAATTATTTGCGTTGGAAAAATCACGCTTTAGATCGTCATTATTTTACATATTATTTAACGATTTAAAAAGATCGTATTGAATGAGATAATGAAAACACAATATCGTGACAGTATGATGATAATAATAACACGACAGCACTCGTTTACACAGAACGGTCGAATTTCTGAAACGAAGCGAGGTAACCCTTGTAGTTATTTTAGTAGCAAATAATTAGATTATTTCCCTTACATATTTAGGATATTCTATAGTTAAGAAGGAAATTTTAATTGAGATACATGCTTTAATGGATATAGTATCAGATTAAGATCGTGTTTCTAGGGAAATCTGAAGTACAGTTTTGTTATACGTCGGCGGATGAATTCTTGTTTGTTTGTTTTTTTCATTGGACAGAACAGAACAGAATTAGAAACATTGACAGCTTTATACATGTATTTAGCTATAACCCTCAATTCAGAACTTTGTTCATTCTTTAAAATCAACAATTTTCTTTTTTGTGACAGAAACGTGTATAAATGAATAAATAAATAAATGAATAAATAAATAAATAAATAAATAAGAAGACAAGTTACCTATAAACATTCTCCTGATCTGTGATAAAACATTGCATTTGGTTGGATAGGGCTGAATTTCAAAATCGATTGTATCTTTCTACCTTTTAAATCAACATAAAATGATATAAATAAATAAAGTTTTGCATGTATGCCATAAGCTCTGCTTTAACTAATAGCGTTTTTTACATGAAGAGATAATTGATATTATCATGGTTTTCGTTTCATGCTAAATCATTATTTCATGGAAAAAACATTTTTGTTCTTAAATTTATTCAGGTTATTTACTTTATTTTGCTTTATGAATCGCATACTGTTAAACCAAGCCTTTTTTTTTTTTCATTTATTTGATATTTGAAGTATAACAATACAAACATACATATTAACATACAATTCACAGACTCATACCTATAATTTCAATAACAAAAAACTACATAAGTATGAAAAAAAAACATCCATTTACTCCATATTTCTACTATATATTTATTCATTTCAAAATCATGCAGTCCCACTAAAATTCATTATTTTTTTTTTTTCATTTATTTGATATTTGAATTATAACAATACAAACATACATATTAACATACAATTCACAGACTCATACCTATAATTTCAATTAACAAAAACTACATAAGTATGAAACAAAAAAAAACATCCATTAACTCCATATTTCTACTATATATTTATTCATTTCGAATAAAAGAAAGAGTATTTCAGATAAAGAGAACTGAAAATTTTAAAGTACATGTATATTCAAAGATATTTTAACATTATTTGGAGAAAGGGAGAATGAAAAAAAGAAGGATTTTTGAAGTATATTCAAAAATATTTAACATTATTTGGTGTAAAAATAAGGAAAGAGAGAGAAAAAAAAAACAACAAAGAAAAATGTCAGAGAAAATATACATACACAAACATACCACACATACATTCAAAAGGATACTTTTTTCCTACATACATACAAAACATACATACAATCGCAAAAAAGAGACCAAAAAAAAAAAGGAACAAGCGAGCTAATTTCAATTAATTTTCTTACGTTTTATGGTTTTTGAAATTATTTTAACTTACTGTTGGTTTTGTTAGGTTAGAGCGTTAAACAAGTTACCCATTTTTGTTTGTGTGATTCAACGTTATCATTTAAAAAAGCATTTCCTCTTCAATTTGTATTCTCAATAGCAAAAAGTTTTTTGAAAATATCAAAAGTTGGTTCATGCTTTTGGTATTTCATTTTAAGGATAAAATATTTCATAAGTATGATGATATAAATTTACTAAAATACTATTAATATTGTTTTTCAGTTCTCCAAAAACACTGTTTCTAAATTATATGAGAAAACAATATTGATTGATAAAAGAAAAGAATGTAAGTTTGACCATAAATTTTGTACAATAGTACATTCCCAAAAAAGATGGTAAAGCGTTTCTAAATTGCTACCACAAAAATCACATAGATTTGAATTACAAAGGCTATACTTAAATAACATTGTATTAGTTGGAATAAGTCTATGAATAAATTTGTATTGAAAATTTCTCAATGACACGTCTGTAGTACTTTTAAATGGAACCATATATATTTTTTGCCAATCCAACTCAGTTTCTATTTCTTTTCCCCATTTCTCTTCATTTGTATTTTTGAACCTTTCATCATTTTCAAGTTGAATATTATATAAAAGCTTATTTGTAGATTTGATTTTTTAACTTTATTTAGGAGTGTATCTTGTACTTCGTTTATAATTTCTTGTAGATTTCAGACTATTAAGATATCCTTTTGGTATATTATTCACAAGCGTGTAATATTTTAAAAAACTCAGCATTTTCCATACCATAGATATTTTTAAGGTCTTCAAATTTGTAGAGTTCATTTTTCCTATAATCATATAGATGTTTACTAAATATAGAATACCTTTTTGATGCCATGTTTTATAGTACACCAATTTATTATCAATTTTAATATTCGAATTATTCCATATTATATGTTTAAGGTTATCTTTTTTATTATTGTGTTCTTGTTGAATATGAAACCATGACGAAAGCACATTGTTTACAAATGAATTATGAGGAAAAAGCTTATTGATATCTGATTTCGAAAGATTACAGTCAAATATAAGGTCATTTCCATACTGTTTTATCTTTTGATTTATAAAAAGTTTCCATAATCCTTTATTGTCCTCATTTATATATCGTTTGACCCAATTTGCCTTTACTGCATTTAAAAATTATTAATATCGATCATTTTTAAACCACCATTTTTAACATTAAGTTTTAATGTTTTACGTTTGATTTTTCTGGCTTGCCATCCCAAAAGAAACAAAAAACATTGCTTTAATTATTTCTTTTATCTTATTACTTGATGGGTTTCTAAAACTGAAAATGGATACAACAGTTTAGGTAAGGCAAATGTTTTTATTACCATCACTTTACCCATAAGTGTCAGTTTTCTGTGTTGCCATTGTTTTAAGCAAATAAAAAAGTTTCTTAGTTTTGGTTCTAAATTTATATCTGTATTTATTTTGTAATTAGACGAGAAAAGAATGCCTAGAGTTTTTGCTGAATCAGATGTCCAATTGAATTTTTTATATTTACAATGTTCTATATCACTTTTCTGTTAAACCAAGCCTATGTAAACACTTTACCCTGTGTATGTAAATAGGTTTTATCGATTTAGAAGTTAGAATCAATATTTCAACAGATAAAGATAAAAATGTGCAATGAAAAGGATTTTTTTGTCATTGGCAACCTTAGTAGGTTGAACCTTCGCACTAAACTAAGCAATAATTGGAGATGATAATTATACATAGAAAGAAAAAGGAATAAGTTAAATATCATAACAGATGTAAAAGAGAAATTTGAAAATTTGGGAACTTTTGCTGTAATGTACATTATTATGTTTAAATGACCGTGAAACGACATTTGGACAGCTTTATCGGTGAAAAGATAAATTAAGATAACATATTGAACAAACTTTCTACAAAATGGCTGATAGTGGAAATGTAGATACAGATATTCTTTCAGATGAAATATTTGATGTATTATGTTCAATGTGTAAAAATCAAGGCAAAAACGCCGAAGGTGTAAAATACTGTGTAGACTGTAAAGATTATTTCTGTGTCAATTGTGTCAAAGTTCACAGTCAGGTACCTGTTTTAGTTGGTCACAAGGTGCTAGATAAATCTCAAGTTAAGTCAGGAACCAGCAAAGGTCTGCCGAGGGCACCAACAGAGAGATGTGACAGACACAGTCATAAACACATTGATATGTACTGTCAGAACCATGATAATGTTGGATGTTCTACATGTATGGCAGTTGATCACAGGTAAAATTTTCTATATAAACATTCTATCTTAAATACCGATTGTATGCTACAGAAAATAACATATCATCTCCTGAGTCATGTCAAAGTTTCATATACATAAATTGTGTGAACTTATTTTTCAGATTATGCAAGGATACATTCTACATACCAGAATTTATCCAAAATAATACTTACCAAGTTATATCCAGGGGACTACAAACAAAACTCAATGAAATAGCCAAGACCCTTGCTAAACAAGCTGATATATTTAAGCAGGATAAACAAAGGCTGTTAAAGAGGAAAGCAGAGTTACTGGCTGATATCAGAAAATTCCGCCAAGAAATCAATGACAAACTTGACAAGCTGGAGAAAAGTTCCATAGAAGAGATGGAAAGTAAAGTCAAAAGTCTTGAAGACAAGATTGAAGATGGTCACAAACAACTACAAGCATACAAGTCCAGGGTTACATCAGCTAATGATAAATTAGCATCTAAAAACACAAATCAAGCTGAAGTGTTTGTTTATGTTAAGATGGCAGAGGATGCTGCAAATGTTGCCAACAATTATATGAAGCATGCCAAAATGAAAAGTACAGTGGAAGACATAGAATTTCTACCAGATAGTACAATACTTACACAGTTAGACCAAATGAAAACCCTGTGCACATTAACAGAAAAACATACAAAAAAATCTGTCAATTTATTTCACAGTAAAGGAAATAAATCATATAATGTAAAAGTTGAGTCTGATAATCGCATTTGTAATATCACTAGTGTCTGCTGTATGGAAGATGGTACAATAATTCTAGGTGATGGCAACAACAGGAAGCTTATACGGTTACACAGTTACAACTATACTGTCACTGACTTCTGTGATCTACCTGGATTTACACATCAAGTATGTATGATTAATAACACACAAGTAGCAATAACCGTTCCATCAAATAAGGAAGTTCATTTCATTTCTCTTAGTGGTAAAATGAAAACAACAAACAAGATTAAAACTGATTTTGAATGTTATTGTTTTGCATATGCAAACAATAATTTATATATTTCAGACTTTGCCACATTATTATATATGTATACATTGTCTGGTAGGAAACTTAAACAGTACAATTATGAAAAATCAGAAGATAATCTATTCTATGACATACACAGTATAGCTGTCAGTCAGGATGCTACAAGAATTTATGTTGCTGACTTTTATAAAGGACTGATAGTACTGGATCACAATGGTCATGTTATTACATCATTTAATGGTGAACAATTAAAGGGGGCTAGCTGTTGTTATCTCACAGAAGCAGGCAGTGTGTTGGTATCTGGACAAAACTCTAATAATGTTTTACAGTTTACATGTGATGGTGAGCTGATAGGAGAGGTTATAAAAGCTAAAAGTGGAAAACAAAACATTACATCAGTCTCTTGTAATCAACGTATGACTAAGATGTGTATAAGCAGACAGGGAAGTGACAATATTGAAGTGTATGATATCTAATCTGTTAAGTAAATATATTTTCAATTTAAACAGTTCAAATAAAAAAAGGAACACTTTGATTCATATGCAAAATACATAGTTCAAACATAAAAGGAAAAACACAGTCATTTAAATAACTTTATTGTGACTAGTATATACATGTACAACATGTAATGATTCTTGTTTAATTCATTGTTAATATACCTGTTAAGTGTTGTGAAAAAAATTATTTGAATTATCATGTATATTATATTGTTGCACTATGATTTAATACAAAATTGATATATTTTTGAAATTGTGTGTTGTGAAAATGACTTGTTGTTCATGTGAAATAAATGTATAGTTTAAACACATTTTGTATCTATAGTGAGAATCATTCATTTTAATGACTAAAATACTTAAAGGCCCATTATGCCTAAAATTACGAATATTTAGAACGGACAAAAATTGGATTCTTAACGTTTATATAAATGTCTCAGTGTTCATTAAATGCTTACTACTTGTAGAAATTTGAACTGAATAAAAATTACATGTAAGCAAAATAGAAAAATGTAAACAAAGTAGTATTTTGCCATCTATACAAAATACTTCATAACTACATCTGTACTTCTTTGCAAACATTCAAAAGAAGCAAAATATTGTTTTCGTCAAAACATTACCCATAGGCCAGTGGACATTTTTTTAAGAAATAGTATTCTATAGAATATAATATTTTAAAAGGACAAAAACCTTAAAAATCTATAGAGAAATAAAAATAATTTTGATAGCATTTTTTGGCGCATAATGGGCCTTTAAAATATTCAGTCATTAACAAACAGGATGGCATTTATTCCTTTTTCTTGCTAGAGGACAAACAGAACAAGAAACCTATGCAACAAAATTATTAGAAATTGCAAGCAAAACAAAAGTCCACAACCGGTAAGAACTACAGCAACAAACTGGACTGCCAAACCATTCAATTATGCCATTGTGGAAAACATGAATGAACTAAAATCTTCTGAGTTCCATAATTTGTCCGTATAATATTAATGTGTTAAGTTTCGTTGCCTAATAAAAAAAATACGTTTACAAATATAACAATTTTCAAATAAATTCCTTAGTCAAAATGAAAATAATCATGGACACAAATGTTAGTGGTTAACAAAGGCGCTGGGCGGCTTATGAATCTTATCTCATATTATGTATGTGTTGATAATGAACATATTAAGGTAAATCAATGGAAACATATGAAAGTTATAGAATAAACAAGAGCTGTCACAGAACGTGACAAAAGCCCCCGAAGGATTCTAGTTATAAACCACCTGTTACCTGTTAGTGTGGTGGTAAAAATTGACAAAGTTCGAACCTCAGCAGTGATATTTAAGTTAGAAAAAGAAACCTGGGTACATTTCAAAAGCACATTGTCCATCTATGTGACTTTATATTTTTAAATGAAAATTGAAAACTTTTATTGTATATGGAAGTTTACAGAGTGGACACAACAACCACCATTTATATGTATTATAAACAAAAATATTGAAAAAGTTTAAACCCCAGCCAGTGACCTTGACTAAGGCGTAGGAACACGGGTCCTAAGGGCAACACATCATACATTTATGATAATTTCGAGTGTGAAATAAAGAAATAATAATCCTTTCATGCATATTATTTTCAGAGCAGACACGACCCCTCGTGCCTATATTTAACATCAAAAATTGACAAGTTTGAACCCACAATACCTTTGACCTAAGTCATAGAAACCAGAGTCTTGTTCGCGACACACCCATACATCTATGGTCTTTTCATATATAAAGAAAAATTAAAATCCTTCAGACATGCATACTGAAGTTTCAGAGCGGACACGACCACCACCATCTATATCTATATAACATAACAAATGACAAAGTGTGGACCTCCACAGTGACCCTGCCCTTAGATGTAGAAACCAGAGTATTGTTTGCGACACACCATATATCTATGGTTATTTCAAATGTGAAAAAAAAATCCTTTCATGCATATTGAAGTTTCAGAGCGGACACGACCACCGCCTTCTATATCTATATAACATAACAAATGACAAAAGTTGGACCTCCACTGTGACCTTGCCCTTAGATGTAGAAACCAGAGTATTTTTTTCGACACACCATACATCTATGGTTATTTCATATGTGAAAGAAAAATTAAAATCCTTTCATGCATACTGAAGTTTCAGAGCGGACAGTACCACCACCTGCTATATTTATATAACATAAAAAATGGCAAAGTTTGAACCCCCACAGTGACCTTGACCTTAGTTGTAGAAACCCGAGTGTTGTTCATGACACACCATACATCTATGGTTAATTCATATGTGAAAGAAAAATTTAAATCCTTTCATGCATACCGAAGTTTCAGAGCCAACATTACCACCACCTTCTATATTTATATAATACAAAAATTTAAAATGACAAAGTTTGAACCCCCAGAATGACCTTAACCTTAGTCGTAGGAACATCATACATCTATGGTTATTTCATATATGAAAGAAATATAAAAATTATTTTAGCATACTGAAGTTTCAGAACGGACACGACCACCACTCTCTATATATAAAGCGGGACGGACGGACGGACGGACTGAAAGACAGACGGACGGTTCGATTTTAATATGCCACCCTTCCAGGGCATAAAAAGGATAATTCAAAGTTTAAGGGGTGATGATTCATGAAATATATATAGAAGCTATAGTTATAAAAATTGTCAAAGTGTTATGAGATGTATGTTTGAAGGAAATCCTTAAAGTAATGAAGTAGTTTGAGTAAAAGATCTAAGTTTAAAGGGGACATAATTCTGGAAAGAGTCATGGTAGAATATTGAATCTTATCACATATGACTTAAGTGATAATATAGAACATTATCATACTTGACTTTTGAAAAGGATACCTTAAAAAAGTTATATAAAAACCAAACAATATTTTTTCATGAAAATTCTTAAATAAAAGTATGTTTATTCTGATAATATTAGGTGCAGGTACTATAATTATGAACCTTTGCACATATGATGTGGGTGATGACAAGAAACGTATATTTGAAGTTTAAAGTCAATACATTAAAAATTAAAGAAGTTATAAAAACGACATTTTTTCATAAAAATTCTCAGTTCAAGGGCGATAATTCTGATGCTAGAGCAGTGTACCTTGTTAAAAATGATGTTGTTAATGATAAGAAACATATATTTGAAGTTAATATCTTTAGAAATAAAGAAGTTATAGTAAAAAAGCATTGCTGCGTAAAATCATTTATCAGAAATCTGGACGCGGCCGCCGAGTAAGACTGCTCTTAATTTACTTTCTATAGTTGAATATAGTTTTGCATAAACTCCTTAGTGCCATCGTTCCATATTTCCACTTAAAAATATTTTCAAGTCTTTAAAGTTATCACAAATATTGTTATATTTTCCATATAATCTGGTGGCTGCCATCTACAGTTTGGAAAAGTTTCAGTTTGGGGTCCGTACTCTCAGTGCCTGAAAGGGCGGATGGACCTTCATAAAGCAGAGAATACAAATTTCGGTACTCTTTGTGTTATCACGGGATTTTTTGTAGATTTGCTATATTTTAATTCTTTTTGGTGGCATACAAAGGAATAAAAATCCATAATGCAAACTTGACCTTGATCTTTGAGGAAGACCTGATTCATCCGCTCTGCACTTCGTCATTACTTACAACACATTTATGCACAATTATTATTAAATCTATCCATTCATAACAACATTGTTGATGAGACACCAACATGAGTGTAATTTTATAATTTTTATTATGACCTTTGATCTACAAATGTGACCTTTGAGGTAGGGATCCAATTCTTACACTCTGCACATTGTCTTTATGTCCAATACATTTATGCATAATAATTCTTAAACTCATCCATCAATAACATACTTGTTGATCGGACACAAACATCAGTGCATTTGTATCACAATTTTCCCTATGATGTCAGAGTGTGGTCAGAGTGTGACCTTGACCTTTGAGCTTGATACCTAGATGTTGCCCCCAATGCGCTTCATATTTATACACAATTATTTAAAAAGCAATCCAAAAATGGCAAAGCTATGGACTGGAAAAAGTTTGGACGGACAACGAAACGGACGGATGGACAGATGGAAGGACGCTTCAAAAACTTAATGTCTCCCTATATTTTATTTGTTTGGGGGCATAAAAAGACAAAGGGGATAAATGACAAATATACAACATTGGCATAAAATAAGTAAACATTTGTTACAGACTCTCCGAAAAAATACCAATAGACGTCTAAATGGAACAGTTTTCATATATTGACAATATATGATAAATGATGGCAATCCGATTGTCAGCCTCTCAAACATTTTTGAGTTTGAATGTCAAAATATGTAATTGGAAGTGACAATAATCATTGTGAGTAAATCTTCAGTTTCGAATTGTGATTCAAACAATCCGAGTTTCCACATAAATTCGCTTCAATAATAATTCAACCAGGGTTCTCCTAGTAAACACCTTGCAGATTCGTACTACCGTCTTAAATGTTAGTAATGTAGTCTCAGTAAATAGTAAATTAAATAGAAAGCATTTTAAATGGGGGTTCCTATAGGGATTTGTTCTCAAAAGGAATAGTTCATACAGAAAACTAAGAATAAGATATGTAGTACTAGTTGAGAAATGTGTATGAAATTTGAAAGCACAAATGTGGATGGTGATTTAATTTTCGTAACATCCATTATTCAGATGAGATTCGGATGTTTATTGCAAGGAAAACATTTATTTTTGAAAATATCTTAAGATTTAGTTACAATCTCGAAACAAAATTAATAAATCAACCTTTCTTGATATCTAGACATGTTTGAATGTTTGAAAACATCACAACCAATAAAATGAAGACACAAGAAAAGCAAGTATAACAAAATATAATCAAAGTGCTGAAGGCACTGCAGTTGGGACGTATGAAGGATCAAATAACTATTTTTTCTATTTCGGGGCAGATAATTCAATGAGTGAAGGGTGTTGCCGGTTGATAAATATAAAGTGCACAATTCCCAAGTAAATAAACCCAGAAAGTTTTTAACCAATTTATTCTATGACACCCCATGTTCAAATATAATATTTAGGTTACATTTACGTTGGGGTCGATCATAAAACCTTTAAATTGGTTTTTTTTTGACAAGAAACAACAAGTAAATTAGGGGCTCCCAAAGGGGAAAAACTTTGGCAGCTTGACTTTTTTTAACACATGACTTTAAAAAGGGGGGAACAAAGCTATGAAAAAAAAAAAAAATAAATTGTGATAAAAATAAAAATTTTTCCTGTACCCAGTTTTCAAGTAAACACTAAAAGGGTCAATTTTTTT